TCTAAAGGGCCGGCAACGCACCTGCAATTCCCCTGGTGTTGCGGTTGATCATGGGCGGCGGTAGTCACTTAACATCAGGTGAGCCACATGCTCGTTTGCCCCCTCTTCTAAAAAAAAAAAAAAAAAAAAAAAAAAAAAGACTAGGTAAGTCCAACTTCGACCGAGAGGTCTATCGACAGATTCAACTCGGCTGGGCAGCGTTCGGGAAATTACGACACATCTTCTCGTCAGGTATACCTCAATCTCTGAAATCTAAAGTGTACAACCAGTGCGTGTTGCCAGTGATGACTTACGGATCTGAAACGTGGTCCTTCACTGCTGGCCGTATGAGGACGCTCAAGGTCGCTCAGCGAGCTATGGAGAGGGCTATGCTCGGAGTTTCTCTGCGTGATAAACTCAGAAATGAGGATATCCGCAGTAAAACCAGAGTGACCGACATAGCCTAACGGATTAGTAAGCTGAAGTGGCAATGGGCCGGCCATATGGCTCGGAGAACCGATAACCGATGGGGAAGAAAGGTTCTCGAGTGGCAGCCTCGTACCGTTAGGCGCAGTGTACCCCCCACTAGATGGAGTGACGACCTGGTAAGACATGCAGGAAGTCGATGGATGCAGGTGGCTCAGGACCGTGCTTTGTGGCATTACTTCGGGGAGGCCTATGTTCAGCAGTGGACTTGTGAAGGGCTGTAATGATGATGATGATGATGTTGACGTGTTTCTTATAAACATAAGTTTTCTCCTTTTTTTCCTACTTAAATTTTTTAAGGTAAGACACTCAAATTTTAGAGATTGAATGACCAAAAGCCCGGTTTACTGTTACATTTTTTTTATGAAAAGGTTTGGGAAAGCCTAATAATTTTATATATACATTTTTACATCACCCTTTAAAATCCACCGCCAGAACGTGTTTTTCCTGTTTTAGGTGCGTTTCTCTCCGAAACATTCTACAATTATTTTCTATAGATTAATTTTAATGTCGTCTGCTTTTAGGCAAATTGTATGAATCTTAAGTAGAGAAGCGAAAAACGCTATAAATAATGCACTAGTTTATCTGACCGTAGTCTATAATAGAATTATCATTTTAAAGAAACATATAGGCTTGTTGTTTGCACATGTAATTAGAATTTAGGTTTCGTTTTATTCCAGACCAAAAAATATTTAATTCAATGTTTTTTTTATAGCTGTGATGGGACATATGAACTTACAGTCCCCCAGATGGTAAGTGGTTACTGCTGTCTATGAACACCGACAGTCAGCTTCAAACATAGAAGATTTATTATTTATAAATCTTCTATGATTATATATAGATTTATTATTTATATATCTAATATAATTTATCTTATAGTTGTGACATTAGACACAACATGAAAGTAACAAATAGAAAGTGCTAAGGAATATAAAAATTAGTATTATATTAAATACATATCGTTTAATATACCTTTATTCTGTTTCATAATGTAATCATAATTCATCAAACTAACAATTTCATTGGTGTTGTCGAGAATCGAACCTATGATGCTTGCGTTGACGGTGAATTTAGCCCTTGAGCTACCACGGCTCTAATATCTTTTTTTTTCTTTTAGCTTTATTATAAAATTACCTCTACACTAGTAATTTCTTTTAAGTATATTGTAGGAGCAATTAACATAAGTACATAATTTTCATAAGGACAAATATTCAGACCCGGAACAATTACCTGTAGGCCATACAAATTCTTATTCCTAGTGGGATTCAAACCCGCGGCCTTAAGTTCTGCAACTCATTAATAAGCCACTCCACCACGGAGCCGTCATATATATTATATATTCGGCACAAAGCGCTTCTATCGGAGCTCCCTTCCTATGGCCTTCTCGAGAAGTTGTGCGATTAGATCACTAGCTTTCTTGCTAATCGGAGCATCAAGGTCGTAGAAGACGGTGCATGCTCTGATTACAAGCCAAGTGTTCCAAAAGGCTGCGTGCTATCACCAACACTGTTTCTTCTCAATATCAATGATATGTTGCAAACTGGTGACATTCATTGCTATGCAGACGACATCACTGGTGATGCATTATACACCGGACGTGACAATATTTCTCTGGAAATCGCCGCCGAGCACCGGGACAATTTTCTGTCTGAAGTCGAGTCTTTGCTTAACAAAGTCTCAGATTGGGGACGACAAAATCTAGTCCAATTCAATCCCCAGAAGACACAATTTTGCGTGTTATCCGTTAAAAAGAACTCCTTTTTCGTATCTCCTCAGTTTGAAGGCACTCCCATTGCTGCCTCAGCTAGCATTGGAATCCTCGGCGTTGAAATATCGAATAGTGTGCAGTTTCGTGGTCACTTGAACTGGTGGAAGGTCAAATTGGCCTCTAAAGAGCCTGGCGTGTTAAGCAGAGCGAGATAGAATTTCATGCCGGCACGTCTCTTCAACTTTACAAAGTTCAAGTTCGGCCTCACATGGAATACTGTTCTCATCTCCGGGCCGGTGCATTTCAGTGCCAGCTCCTTCCACTTGACCTCATCCAGTGCAGAGCAATTCGGATGGTCGACGACCGAGTTCTTTCTAATAGCTCACTGGCGTTGCGTAGGGATGTTGCATCCCTTTGCGTTTTTATTGTATCTACTTCCATGGCGAGTGTTCTGAGGAATTGTTTGGATTAGTTCCAGCCGCAAAATTTAACGAATGCACATCGCATCATAATTGACGATATCATCCTCACCATCTGGATGCTTGGCGGTTCACCACTGTGCATTTTACTAGGAGTTTTCTTCCTCGTACAATTTCTCTGTGGAATTGTTTACCGCTGCCGACTTTTCCAGACAGATACGACTTGGGGACCTTCAAGAAAAGAGCTCACTTCTTTCTAAAAGCCGTCAACGCACCTGCTATTCTCCTGTTGCGGGTAGGAGGAACGCACTTATCCATAGATAAGAATGTATATACGGGAACATTGATCGGAGGCGTCTGGGTGCGATGATTTATAATATTTTTTAAATAATTGACATTTACAGCGAGCGCTAAACTTCTTAGCCACCACGGCGAGCACAGTACGAGTATGAATGAATGACATTGTATTGTAATAAACTGTAATGAAATTGTTAATTGCAATTTTAAGTGCTGATTTACCACGTGATCAGCCATGAAGGGTAACATCGTGAAGAAACCTGCATGTCTGAGAAATAAAAAAAGATTATATATCGAGCCCATGTAAAAAGTTCGTCAACACGCATTAGGGCAGCGCGGCGGACACATCCTTGTCCTAAAACCCTCTCATAAATGAGAGAAGGCATGTGCCCAGCTGTGGGCTGTATGTAGGCTGTAACTGTAAATTTAACTTTAAATTTTTTTTTTGGATATAAACATTGCCCGTATTTTGTTAAAATAATTACAAGGAAGAAGAATTTTATTTAACGAAAAAGTTTTAATGAAGGAGACTTTTTTAGTGTTTTTGTAGTTGTTCAGTTTTGTTCCGACTTCAAAATACTAAAAAGAACAAGTTGAGTAAAAACTTTTAATAAAATAATTTCATATTTGGAAGTCGACGCTTCACTTCGCTTCTTTTATACACATTATAGTATTAGCCCCGATTTCAAAAAGTGAATTTAATTTCATTTCCTTTAATTTTTTTGAAGTCAGTATTTACATTTTATTAAAGTAATTTTTTTAATGTAATTGGGTTGGGCATAGCATAGCAACATATAATTACAACAATATAATTTGTTTTACTCATTAAATATTAAATTAATACATTGACAATTGATTTTGTTGTATTTTAAAATTACAATTTTTCACAAGAAATTACAAGGGTACCCTTGTAATTTCTTCGGCGTCTGCACGGCATCATGGCCATTTTTATAGATGATTTATATTAAATTATAACTTTCAGTACATAATCAAGTTGAAAATTTATATATATATATATATATATATATATATATATATAATCTTATAGTTGTGACATTAGACACAACACGAAAGTAACAATTATTATACATATTTATATACGTGTATTTTATACATTACGTGTCACGTTGTTTGTCCGCGATGGACTCCTAAACTATTTAACAGATTTTAATCAAATTTGCACAACGTGAGCAGTTTGGTTCAACTTGAGAGATAGGATAGTTTTTGCCCATGAGTGACCCATATTTTTTTTTTGCGAATTTAAGGATTTTTAATTAGACATGACAAAGGGTTGTTGAAAAGGGCAGAACAACATCTGCCTGGCAAGCTAGTAAAAGTATATATATTTATTTGAAACAGATTAAAAAAAACCTTCAGGTTTGTAATAATAAATAACATGTCACAAAAAATAGTATCATACGACACTTGTCGCTACCGCTTTCCGGGATTTATTATCCTGGATGAATGATGTTAACGAGACAGAAACATAAGGACGGTGCCCTTGGGAATACGAAAACAAATACGCATTGTACATTCGTCAACCTTTTATTTATATGTGTTTATGATATTCTTGTATATTATTTTGTGTCATTTTCATCATCATTACAGCCCTTCACAAGTTCACTGCTGAACATTGGCCTCCCCAACACTCCGCTTTGATAATCTTTCGTCCCCATGGGCTGTCGCTTGTTCGGCTATATGGCGCTTAATCTGTTGGGCTATGTAGGCTACTCTGGTTTCACTTCAGATATCCTCATTTATAAATTTATCACGCAGAAAAAATTCGAACATAGCCCCCTCCATATCTCGCTGAGTGTCCTTATATTTTATTTTGTGTAATTATATGATGATGTTACACTTGACTGAGATTTTACACTTAGACCAGGTAGTGATGGTGTAAGAATTTTAACCATCCAATATCATCCCGTGGGTGTCGTAAAAGACGACAAAAGGAAACAAATAGAAAATTGGCAGCAGTAACTTCCCAATAACAACAATAAAATAAAAACTGCGGTCGCTAACCCGTCTGGTAAACGTTGCAGCAAATATTACCCATATGAGTCAATATGCCGGATATGTATGTAATAGGTCCATGTATAGCAGCGGACAAAATGATTTCATTGGAGTGGTCTACCCAGGTTACTCGCGTACTGTCAAATTTGCAGCGTGCGCTTAGCCCTTGAGCTATGAAGGATTTTTATTCTAACATTGATGTTAATGTAGTATTATTATAATCACCTTGAAGTGCTCACGAAGGATTCTGTTACCGTATAGTTTCTCGATAAGCACAAAACTAAGTTGTCTTCAATCTGAAAAATTGATTCAACGACGCTGAAGGGCCAGAAAAACACATAACAACCAAACAATCATTTAGCTGCGACATCCAATTTGATTTGAAAAAATTGGATAACTCAGGCCTTAAAAACAACACATGACTTGACAATTAAAATGAACTTCAACATTAACCCGCGCATGAAACGTTGAATAATAAAATGGCGGGCGGTCACGTTCCGGACGCTGCTAAATCTTGCTAAGGGCCCGGCGGATTACTTCTAAATTAAAACATACATATTTAACACGTAAAAACAGTCGGTTCACTGTTTTATGCACGTAAGATTTATTTATAAGGCAGAGTGGAAGGGTTTTTGCTAAATAGAGCCGCGCAGTAATGTGCCTGCGTCTAATATATCTGTAAACTAACGATCCGCCCCGGATTCACGCACATTTATGTGATTAAAATATTATTGTGTGTTATATTTGCGTAAACCTTGAATGAGAATAGTTGATTTGAATCCGAGCTATTGATCAGTCAGCTCGTTAGTTTCATGCATAACTTGGGCACTCCTGGGAAAGCTACGGCCCACCTTTAAATTAGGCTATTTTCAAAGGAAATAAATATTTAATGTAACATTTATTCTTTTTGTAAGGGATCAGTATTTTTATATCTTCATTTTTCCATCACACCTAGATATCCACTGCCAGAACGTGCTTCCCCTGTTTTAGGTAAGACTTCTTAAAATCGCCACACACACACACACACACACACACACACACACACACACACACACACACACACACACACACACACACACACACACACACACACACACACACACACACACACACACACACACACACACACACACACACACACACACACACACACACACACACACACACACACACACACACACACACACACACACACACACACACACACACACACACACACACACACACACACACACACACACACACACACACACACACACACACACACACACACACACACACACACACACACACACACACACACACACACACACACAACACACACACACACACACACACACACACACACACACACACACACACACACACACACACACACACACACACACACACACACACACACACACACACACACACACACACACACACACACACACACACACACACACACACACACACACACACACACACACACACACACACACACACACACACACACACACACACACACACACACACACACACACACACACACACACACACACACACACACACACACACACACACACACACACACACACACACACACACACACACACACACACACACACACACACACACACACACACACACACACACACACACACACACACACACACACACACACACACACACACACACACACACACACACACACACACACACACACACACACACACACACACACACACACACACACACACACACACACACACACACACACACACACACACACACACACACACACACACACACACACACACACACACACACACACACACACACACACACACACACACACACACACACACACACACACACACACACACACACACACACACACACACACACACACACACACACACACACACACACACACACACACACACACACACACACACACACACACACACACACACACACACACACACACACACACACACACACACACACACACACACACACACACACAACACACACACACACACACACACACACACACACACACACACACACACACACACACACACACACACACACACACACACACACACACACACACACACACACACACACACACACACACACACACACACACACACACACACACACACACACACACACACACACACACACACACACACACACACACACACACACACACACACACACACACACACACACACACACACACACACACACACACACACACACACACACACACACACACACACACACACACACACACACACACACACACACACACACACACACACACACACACACACACACACACACACACACACACACACACACACACACACACACACACACACACACACACACACACACACACACACACACACACACACACACACACACACACACACACACACACACACACACACACACACACACACACACACACACACACACACACACACACACACACACACACACACACACACACACACACACACACACACACACACACACACACACACACACACACACACACACACACACACACACACACACACACACACACACACACACACACACACACACACACACACACACACACACACACACACACACACACACACACACACACACACACACACACACACACACACACACACACACACACACACACACACACACACACACACACACACACACACACACACACACACACACACACACACACACACACACACACACACACACACACACACACACACACACACACACACACACACACACACACACACACACACACACACACACACACACACACACACACACACACACACACACACACACACACACACACACACACACACACACACACACACACACACACACACACACACACACACACACACACACACACACACACACACACACACATACACACACACACACACACACACACACACACACACACACACACACACACACACACACACACACACACACACACACACACACACACACACACACACACACACACACACACACACACACACACACACACACACACACACACACACACACACACACACAAATAGCCTGAATAGGTATGTGGTAGTACCTTTTGTGACATCTTTGATTCTCGCACTTTTTTACAGAAATTTATATAATGTTGAATCTGTATTTTTAGTTTATGTGCATTTTAAATATCGAAATAGACGGAAATTAAAAAAATTAAATAATAATATATCTTATTCCTAAAATAGTTTTGGAATTTGAAATTCAACGTCAGTTATTTGAAATATGTAAGAAAACTATTTTCTAATTTTAACTAAAATAAATGAGAATGTAAAATATTTATTTTTACTAATTGTTATAAGGCCGATGTGGCTGCCAATCTCCTGGTTTGTTTCCCTGTATCTTCGCTTACGACAACTACGAGACGATATGGGGTAATGGATATTTTTACAGCGCCACTACACGATCAGGTTTCAAATATTTGTAATCAATAGCTGTAATTGAAGACGTCTTCAATTCCTACGGTAGCTCGGTTGCCAATGGGTATTACTCGTACAGTTTTCTTTTTTTGCCGCATACGATGCAATAAAACGAGTGCTCCGCGCCGTCGCTTAGCCAATAAAAAAGGAATAAATCAATTCTATTTTACTAACATATTTAACATATTTTTTATATAATATGGTGGTAAACGAGCACACAGTCACCTAATGGAAAGTGGTTGCTGTCGCCCTTAGATATCTACATCTATCCTCAAATACGAAGCAAAATGCAGATACATTGTCACCTGTAAGGACTGAGATAGAATGCTTCGTTTCCAGCAAAAAAGGGTATCCGGTTCTTTGCATTAACCATAAAAAACGCAGCAGCGCTGGTATTCTGTGAGAGCGTGGTCCTTCCCGGGTCGAGTTGATCCATTCTTGCTACAATTACAGTACAAGCCAGTGTCATAGCCATCATATGAATAAAAATCTAGCGATTACCAATCCGCTTACCAAAACTAGCAAATATTACAATGAATGCCGTAATAAATATTTCTAGTAGTCTACGTTCCGCAGTAAATTATTGATCCAATGACGGCCCAATATCCGGAATGATTTAAGAAATAATTCAAATGTTTGTTTTAATGTACACAGGCTCCATCTTCCGAACCGTTCTCTGGAAATAGAACTGTATCACTTGAAGCATTAGCCATCGACGGAGCTCGACGAGAAACTGAAAGAGGATTAAAACTGCGTTGAAAAATGGTGTTGACAGGTGTGCGTCTTCTTATTATATTTCTACAAATTTCTTGGACACATTAATTCATTTTGTTTAACATTCTACATCTACATGCACATGGTTATTGTTAAAACATATGTTTCAGACTGAAGCAATAGGCATCGAAGGTGAAGGTCGTCTTCGTGGTCACGTGTGGGACTCTCCGACGGGCGTGGAGGACGAAGCGGCACCGCCCATGACCGCTCACACCGCATACGCGGTAATCTCAAAAAGAAACCAAATCAATAATTGTCATTGACTCGCCGTTTCGTCACATAACGCCATCATAATCCTCAGATTTACATTTCAGCCAAAGAAAGTTCTGATGAGTTTGATCTCACACCAGCAATCATGGATCAAGATGACGACTGGATGTATTTACCTTTAGAAAACTACAAAAATAATTTAAATGAAAATGATTACGTAATTTCAACAAAAACTCAGGCAGACACAGCAAATCGCGAAACAGAAGATATATACATAGTGCAGAAATTATAATCACTCCTATTACAAGTTGGAATTCCAAACATAAATGAAAAATTGCTGTTAAAAAGTTTGTTAGCAAACCAAAATAATGTTGCGCGCCTAAGTTGACGTCAGGTACCTGGAACTAGCGCCATATAGTGTCGGGGTCCAGAGCGAGGAGGGCTTCCTAGAAAATGTCAATCTTGACTTTCGATCAACAGCGCCATCTAGTATCGAACAGAAGAATTAAGCTTTCTAGAAGCCCCACACTCGAACTTCCTGCACCTGGTCGGTTGTTTCGGTGAAAAAGGTGTATTTAAAGGCGCTGCAAGACGCGATCGGGGCAGTATTGCCGAGACAAGCGAAGCTTCGGAGCGAAATAAAGTGAATCATTGTGATTAATTATTAGTGTCTTTTAAGTAAAGTGAATTAAAGTGTTAATTTTGGTAATTCAATCGGCAGTTTTTAGTGTCAAGAACCCTAAGCTCGTAACAATAATATAAGTAACAAAGTAGATACAGGCCTTCTTAATATTAATTTAAAAACAAATTCCAATGACTTTGTTCAATCTGAAAATGATTTTATAGACGCATATAACGTATATGCATCTATGAAATCATTTATAATGTAATAAGGGAATAGCTGCTTTTTTCTATAACTATGTACAAAGTTCACTGTTTGTCATAGTTGCTATACCCGGCAAAAGTATTCGCATTCGCAACTTTTATCATAATTATTGTTTTTATCAGGAAGACGCTTCTGCCCATCTCCTTGCTTACTTTACCTCTGTCGCCTTTTACGACACCCACAGGATTATATGTGGTAGTAGATATTCTTACTCCGCCACAACATGACCTATTTAGATGTATTCCATACTATACAGCAATAAACTGTCATTTAATAAGCAATACGAGCACTTGTCACTGCCAACTAAGGCCTTAAAAACTTGACTTAAAACACTTCCAACTTTTGTAATGACAGCCGTACCGTTTGCCTTCAAAGCGCCTGTTATTAACAGATACAGATGTTTATTGAATATAGATTATAAATAATACATATTAAAATAACTGCTTATAATCATCTTTACACAAATATCAACACAATACAAATTAGAAAAGGCTTGGTAGTGATCACCTTTCCTAAAGGTTATTATCGTCCATAAATTCCTTAATATTACAGTAACCCCTTTTTATACAAACTTAGTTTGTATAAAAAGGTTAAGGTATAAAAGTACAGTTTTTGAACTTTGTGCAGGTCAAAGTTTGAATATTTTCTAGGATTTTATTATAAAAGCGTATACATCGCCTCAAGAATGAATTACTAACTCAGTGGAGTCGAGTAACTGTTCCCACTAGCTTGTGTTCCCACTAACTTATTTTTGTAATACTACTTTTATTTTTGTTTACGAACATCAAATTTTCATAAGCGTATTAAGAGCCAAAGTAAATTTAATAATTTTTGTCAGAGCAACTTTAGGTTTTAAATCATAGTTTGCCCTTACGGCCTTCTTCGGTAAGACAAATAAAATTTCATTATCTGTTGCGTGTCTCCATAGCATAATATTGTATGGTATTTTACTAAGCAAACCTGCCATATCTAAGGAACAAGGTTATAAATTGATCTTATGGTTCACTTTAGTAAAACAAAGATAGTTTCAATGTCAGTCGTGTTACCCCATAGCAAGTTTCCACACTACATTATGCTATGGAAATCATCATCATCATTACAGCCCTTCACAAGTCCACTGCTGAACATAGGCCTCCCCCAAGTAATGCCACAATACCACGCTGTGGAAATAGCTAAAGTTAATTAGTCTATCTGTATCAACACTGGAAAGACTTTTAAACTTTTTACAGCACAGGTGCAGAATTTAGTGATTACCTGTTTTAAATATAGGATTCGTATAGAAGCTTCGCGTGTAGTGTGATTCGAAGATAAATGGTGGTATAGACAAGTCTCAACTACTCTCCATTTAAAAATACATTGGTATTTAGATTATTGACATTTGGAATTATGAATTCCATAAATTTAGTTTGAGTGTCATTTATATTTAAATTATTAACTTTAAACTAAATTACTAATTTAGATATATTTTTTATTTTTTCATATATTAATGATTGTCAATTTTTTTGTAGGTGTATAATATTTTAATAATTCATATTTTAATAGTTGTAAAGTGTTTTCGTTTAAAAATTGATGGAGTATCATCCGAAAATAATACTATATCATTGTTATCCCCTACCATCTAAGTTAAGTCATTAATATATACAAGAAACAGAAAGGAGCCGAGAATTGAGCTCTAAGGTACGCCTGGAGCACGTACTATCGACCCGGAAGAACTCATACCATTAATGACAACTTTTCGTGTTCTGTTTTAAGTTCTGTTCTTTTTCTTAATTAAGTTAAATGCTTCTAAGCAATGTTCAGTAACACATAAAATATGAATATTGTTGCTATTTAAGAACTCTTCAATTTCTAGCTCATTGCTTATTATGCCTTATATATTTCGATACACCAGGTGTAAACAATTTTTACTATCATTTTGTGAACTCGTACAATTATATTTATTTAGGATTTGTAAGCTACATTCTAAATTACTTAAGTTATTATAACTGCTAGATATTAACCTCTATTGTCTCATTTTAAATTTAAAATTACTTGGAACTGATTTAAAATTGGACGTCAAATCACTATGCTGCTCAATAGAAACAGATGCAAAAGAAGCAGACAAAATAACTCTAAATGTACTCAGTTATATTAACGAAACAGTTATAGATGTACTCAGTTACATTAACGAAACAGTTATAGAAAAATATATGACGATACAGGTCCAGTGGGCAACTTTTCAATGCTTTGTATATAACAGAGATGTCTGCTCGATGTAAGTTCTTCTGTACGACTAACGAAAAAAAACAGAGTGAGTATAATGTCAAATTGAGATTTAATTAAGGAAAGAGTAATACAAAACCCCAAAAAAATATTAGTGTACGTTTAAGCAGCATTCCCGACAATCAGACAGGAAAAAAGTTTCATGAGTGGCAGCCTGGCACTGATAGGGGAAGTGTAGGGCAACTCCCCACTAGATGGAGTAACGACCTGGTAAGACATGCAGGAAGTTGATAGATGCAAGTTGCTCAAGACCGTACTTTGTAGCATTCCTTAGAGGAGGCCTATGTTCAGCAGAAAACTTGTGTAGGGCTGTAATGATGATGATGATGAAGCAGCATTTAAATACGTAGCTATACACCTAGATACACACACAATTGCGAATTCTATATCAAGTACGAAGGTCTTGAGAAGAGATACGACTCACTCGTATAGCAGTAATAGCCTAATGAATAAGTACTTGTTGAAATCGAGGCGTGTCTCTAGTGTAGATAAAATTTTCTTAATATTGTCTGTTCTCACATTGTTAAGAAAAATTATACTTTAGATAAAAAGTGAATACCGGCTTCACGTAACTAAAATAAGTGCAATAACTACAGAAAATTGCTTCTAAAGTTGGTGCTGAAACAGTATGTAGAGGAACTAAAGCCTCGACTTCAAAGGCGAATGTGAAATGTATTTATTATTTTAAGCTCTCCGAAATCGCCTTTTACTTTATATTCAAAGGTAATTTTGACCCTTTAGCGCATGTAAAATAACAACTAGAATGCCGCTTTATCCATATTTGTTACTATTAAGGGTGCATAATTTTTATAAATGTAACTAACTGGAGAAATAAGTTATATTTTTTTTGAGGTATTTAAACATTGGAATTTATAACGACTTTTTTATAAAGGAAATAAGATCTTGACATTCAATGAAATGACGCCTAAATTCATAAGTCTAGCGGAAGCAGTGGAGGATGTTAAGATTCTTGGCAGTTTTGTTATAACTTTCAGGCCACTGCACGGTAAGTGGTTACTACAGCCCATGAACAACTACAACACCAGGGTAATTTTATGCTCGTTTGCCATTCTCCTAAAAGAAAAAACCTGCCTTCTCCGACAGAGGAATCACGTATTTACAAATACATTGGTAAGCGGATTTTAATAATAGTTTTTTATTAATTGTTCCGCAAAAAAATTAACAGCAAGAGGAAACTTGTTTGTAATATCATGCGCGTTGTGATTAGCCGATTTAAATGAATATCGGACATGTAATCTATTTGCATCCGCTGGATAAGCTGATCCCTTGTCTCGACTTTATCTATGAGACTTCCTTCATCAGTCACAGACAACGGAACATCGAATCATTTCCATAGTTATTGAAAAAAAAAATCTTGTTAGATTGTTACAACGCGAACGATATTGATTGGAAGCTGGCAGATAGAAAAAAATGATAATATGTGGCAAGCAAGTTGCATTCAAGTTTTTTAGTACATATGATAATTACTGCTGATTTTCAATTTCGGAAATAAACATAGTATTAAATAAAATATAGAGAAATGAAAAAATTACAGTTATTACATTATTTTTATTACATTATTTTAACTTTTATATAAATTTGAAATGTACACAATATTAAAAAAAAACTATAATAAAAACCGTAAATTATCATGCAATCCTAAATTCCACCTTGGCACGATAGCACGCGTTTTCTCTCTAAATAATTATATTTCGCCTTTGAGCGTGAAAAATAGCAACATTCTTATAACCAGTAGTGACATACAGTTGCGGACACAGTTCCTTTAAGACTTCCAGCATATCTTACCAGGTCATTACTCCATCTAGTAGGGAGTTGCTCTACACTTTCCCCTATCAGTACGACGCTGTCACTCAATAAACTTTTTTCCTGTCCGGTTGTCGGGCATGCCGCTTACACGAACAATATTTTTTGGGTTTTTTATCACTTTATTTACCTTAAACTACATTTATTTTTAAAATATTGTATTAACGTATGTGCTGTTGGTCCAGGACCATGTTATCTACGGAGGCCTACGTTCAGCAGTGAAAATAAAATTTTTCAAAAATAAGATTAATTTATTTTGTAAATACTGTGAACTGACACAAGCTAGTAGGCCCAGTTACTCGACTCCATAGTCAGTAATT